TAACCAGATGTAGTTACGCATCTGAATTTTTTCGGATGTAACTACATCCGCCAAAAAAAAAAATTATTGTAATGCATTATTTTAAGCATAATAAACTTTTTTTTTTTCAATTATTTGATAGACTGCCAGCCCAAACCTAACCCTCAGTCGTTGTAGCAGCACTCCGTTGCGAGTCAGGCTATTTGTCAGTCGATGTAGCAGCACTTATATAATATAATAATTATATATGTAATTTATAAATGTAACTACATTTGGAAATTTTTTTTTAATAATGCATTATTTTAACCAGATGAAGTTACACATCTGATTTTTTTCCGGATGTAACTACGTCCAAAAATTTATTTTATTTAATAATGCATTATTTTAGGCGGATGTAGTTACACATCGAGAAAAACTCTCGGATGTAGTTGCATCTCTCTAAAGATGTTATTAAACATCAATGAATTTTCGGATGTTGTTGCACAGATGTTAATTCAATAAAGAAAAAAAGTGGATGATCTTACACAAAAATGTGCGGATGTTATTTCACTACTCCACGGATGTTGTTGGACAGATGTAGTAATCTTTTCCCGTATTTATCATGCCATATTTGGATCACACCTTAGGTTAAGTTCCTTAAACCAACTAGTTTCATTTAAAAAAAAAAAGCACTTAAAATGATTCACTTTCAAAATTATCTATTTAACAATGTTTCTTTATCGTATAAATTATCAAAAACTCTTAGGCTAAACAATAATATTACTTTTTAAATTGTTTATTTGTATGGGATCATCTTCATGATAAACTTCCAATTTCCTTCTAGAACTTTTTCCTTCAAATATGCAACAAACATTCTCATTTCCAAAGATCCTATTCATGCAACAATATCTTTCTAGAACATACTAGGCCAATAAAATTTGGTAAAGAATCAATTAAACATCAGTGTACTAATGCTTGGAACTATCTCCCTCATTCTTTTAAAACTAAAAGCTCAGTTTCTTGATATATTTTACTCGATAAATTTAAAAAAAAAACACTATTTGGATAACTACTAAAATAATAACATCAATAAAAGCAATATTTTACTGTTAATAGTCTTATTAAAAAATGCTCTCTCTTGTATATATTTTTTATTTTATACTATTTTTTTTTAAGAACATTTATGTACAGTTTTTTTTGTCGTTTTTACACAATAGTTGAATGTGCATGAGCGTATGTATGGGCATATGTATGCGTATGTATATATATATATATATGTGTGTATATGTGTTAACATGTGTCTATAGGTATGTGTGTGTATGTATGTATGTATGCAAATAAGTATACGTATATGTGTGTGTATATATATATATATATATATATATATATATATATATATATATATATATATATATATATATATATATATATATGTATATATATATATATATATTTATTAATATCATTATTTTTATCAATGCCATTATTTTTATTTGTACTATTTTTATTATTATAGTTATTATTAATGTTAACATTATTGTTAATGTTATGATTTTTAGAGTTGTCGTTATTAACATCATTATTATCAGGTGTTTATGCATGATTAGTAATTATACCATTTGTAGACATCTTTGAATTGTAAAATCATGTAATTCATAATATTTTGATTGAACCCTGCAATCAAAATCAAATAACAAATGTTTGTATAATTTAGTTACGTTCTACAGTTTTACAATAATTTTTATTTTAATAAAATTAAATTACTGTAAAACTATATGCAATTGTAAAAATTTTAACAATAAAATTTTACAATTACATTTTACAACAGTATATAGTTTTACAATATATTTTTATTTTAATTTTATTATTATAAATCTGCACATTTTTTCTTTTTTTAATAAATTGTAGGTTAAAGAGAGGAATTTAAAATTTTTCAAAAGACCTAAAAGATACTTTTGCATGGATAACTAACAACAGAACAGACAGTGAAAATATAAAAATGAACAAACAAATATAATAATAAACGATGCGTCAAAAGTTGTTTAAATTAGAAAAAAATGGTGTTAAATGATATCATACAACGTGCAAACCAATATCATGCAACGTGCAAACCAAAAATATTTTTTTTCTAACAATTTTCTTTTTCATCATTAAAAACTGCTTTAACAGTGGGAGAGTGGCTGTTGCTGAATTTAAGTTATTGTTAGGAAATGGTTGTATGACCTTAAAAGTTTTAACGTTTTAATAAAACTGAAGTTTCTTTTTTATCATAATTTTACACAATAATATTTAGCCCTCGGCATTTGACAATGAAGAAAAAACTGCCGATGGAGAGTTTAAAGTTGGCGATACTATGTTAATATTTAAAAGAAAAAAAAGAAAAACTGCCGACCTAAAAGTGTTTCAAGTTGGCGATTTTATGTGGTTATTTAAGAGCGACTTTGTGTAAGAATCAGAGAGAACTCAATAATGACCCTCTTAAAAATTGCTAATTTTTTAATATGTTGTTACTATTTACACTAGAAGCTTAATTCCAAAATTT